TAGTGTTTTAATCTTTAAAAGTACAAATCAAATCCTAGTATTCTTCTTTAAGTCCCTCAATGGTATCCCATAATGGCCTAAATACAAGCCTTGCTTGGTCTACATGATTGGGCCTGCCTACTCCTCCTCCTCCTTCATCCAGCACACCCTGCCCTAGTCTTCTCCCTCCCTTTCACCCATCAAACTCTTTACCAACAACCTAGATAACTTTGGTTCCTTTGCCTCAACTTCTTCCCCCTCATCTCCATTCTGCATGGCTGGCTCCTGCACATCACAGATATCTCAGCTTCAGAGGCTTTCAATGAACCAGTTCCCTGCCATACTTTAGTTCACTTAGAGCAATTACTGCTGTATGAACTTATTTAAGCATTTGTGGTTGAATATCTATCCAACCAATCATAATTCCCCTGACACACACATATAGCTTGAAAGAATGTCATGTAAGATCCTGGTCACTGTATTTATACATATAACACTATGTGTGTATAGTTGTTCCTGTCACTTAGTAAATGGTCAACAAATATTGTTGAGTGGGTGGCTGATAGGATGAACAGACGATATAACAGGTTGATAGAGTGAATGGATTGGCAGGTGGTGGAATAGCGGAGGGATGACTTAAAGAGTAGATGAATGGATGATAGGATGGATGACAGAGCCAATAAGTGCATAGCTGATAGAGAGGATATATAGATGTATATAGATAAGAAGGTGGCTGAGAGAGTGAGTAGGTAAATGACTAATGGAGTGGATAAGTGGATGGTTAGCAGAGTGGATTGGTGAGCAGCTGACAGAATAGGTGAGTGGCACCTAATGGAGTGGATGGATGCATGGCTGATAACATAAAAGGATGTGTAGCTGATAAAGCATACAAATGAATGGTGTTGGGAGCTGTGAACCCCCAGTTCCTGAACTTCTGGTAAACAACTTGTAATGCTTGCAGCTGCTCTGAGCACAAGCCCCTCAGGAGTTCCTGATGGCAGGGGAGTGGTTTCTGGTAGGTTTGGCTGGGGCGTGGCTATCAATTAAGGATCCGTATATAAGCGGCTCTGGTACACAATAAAGGGGGCATTCTTGGGGCATTCTGGCATCAAGGTTGACCTGTGTCTCTGTCTGTGTGTCTTTGTATGCTTTAATCTCCAGCCCCTTGTCTGGTTCATGAACTGTATGATAGCGCATAGAGCGCAGACAGGCGTGGTGCGCTACAAATGGCAGACAGAGTGGAGGATGGAAGGGTGATGGGATGAATGGTTGGGTGGTTGATGGAGTGAATAGGTGGATGGCTCATAGAATGGGTGACTGGATGGCTCACAGAGTATACAGATGGATGGTTGTGTGGATGGATGGTGGATAGAGCAGAAAGATGTGTGGTTGATAGTTGAAGGATGGATAGATAGCTGATGGGGTGAAGGGGTGGGTGGCTGTAGTTATCCACTGATGTATGGAATTGTTGAGTCAACGGTTGTTTCCTGCAATAGACCACGAGCATCAAAGAGATGCGTGTCTTTTTAGTTATCTCTGCCCTCCCCTGCACCTTGGGCTCAGTCCCACCCAGATACATGGATACCCAATCATCATTCTGAGAACCAGTATTCACAACAGATGCAGAATCTTCCTAAGGAATGAGCAAGCAAGGAAATCGCATAAGAGTGCTGGAACATGTACTATAGAGCAGGAACACTCTTATATTGTTAATGAAATATTAGCTTTGCAGATTTCATACTAGTAAACACAAAATTAATTGCAACGTGCAATAGATGGGAATGTGAAGAGCTTGGTTGTGACTTTAGTCTTGACATCAATTTTCCCTGTGACCCTGGGGGAGTTATTCAGTTACACTGAGTTTCTGTTTAACCGCTGCTTGTCCATTGTTCTATGAGAGTGAAGAGCTGAAACTTGCAAGGTATGTACAAAAAAAAAAAAAAATCCTGCCACAAAGCCCTACAGGAAATAAGAAAACAAAACACAAGCCTTGGGCCTGGAGAGATGGCTCAGAGGTTGAGTAAGCTCACTGTTCTTGCAGATAAGTTTGGTTCCTAACACCCACATATTCAGCAACAGGGCATCTGACCTTTTTGTCTGACCTTGGCAGGTACCTGCACTCACATGCACATAGTCCCACAAAGGAACATATACATACTTAAAAATAAAATAAACCTTAATAAATAAATTTCCCAAGCCCTTGAGTATATGGGTTCCACTTATCATTTCTAATGGTGAAGATACTTTTCAGCTACTGACTACAAAGTCCACTCCTCTTCCTCTCCACCCTGAGGTTAGATTCCCGACGCCTAGATCACCTGTGGTTATCAATGAACTGTCCCCTCCAGGTTCTACTCATCATCCCCTCAAGCTACATTACTACTGACGCCTGGGCCAAACCAAGCTGTCCTGTGTACCAGCAGCACCACACAGTCTCTGCCTCAAATTAGGTCACTACACGGCTGGCCAAATCAATTCAGCACATTTGAAAGGAATCCATTGTTAATTATTTCTTCTGCCTGTCCTCTTCCTGGTCATTGCACTACCATTTTTACTGGCACCCAAGCTCAAAACCCCGTGGTTATCTCGGTTTCTATCTTTTCCAGCTACAGTATCTACCTAATCACTAAGCAAACTCTGTCTCTTCATGAATAATAACCAGTTTGATTCCCTTGCTGTCTACCTAATCTAGAGTCACCATGTTCTACTCAGGTCACTATCCATGGCTTACCTATGAAATCACACCACATAAATCTCTCTCTGCATAAAAGACCTGAGGTTCCTCATCTGACTTGGACAACTTTTTTACCTCTCAGAGGCTCTCCAGGCCTCCCTCTATTCAAGGCTAAAGATGAACAATTCCATGCTAGAGCTCATGGTCATATAAATTGACCTCGTAGCACATCACCTTACACACACGAAGGATCTCTGCTGAAGCTAGCTAAAAACTCACGGTCTCCCTCCGCTGCCGTTTACACAGAGGAAGTCTCTGACCTACCACTTCTACACTTCGTGCTTCACACTTTGTTTTCTTTTCCATTTTAAGCATAGAAGGCAGGAGAAGGGAAAGGGAGGAAAGAGGAGGAAAAGGAAGAGGAGAAGGAAGAGAGAAAATGTAATTTCCAAATCTAAATCCATAGGTCTTATTTTGCTTTTCACTAGGTCCTGGAAAGAACTTGGCACAGTGGGGTCTTGGGTGAACACTGAACACTGGCTACCGTGATGGCATTTTCCAGCTACAGTATCTACCCAATCACTAAGCAAATTCAGTCTCTTCATGAATAATAACCAGACTGATTCCCTTGCTGTCTACCTAATCTAGACACTACCTAATCCTTCCCTCACACCACCCACCTCCTAAAACCCCTTTCCTCAGCTACATCCACTAGAATCTGCACTGGTACTCGAAGGCAGTGCTCAAATTCTATGTTCTTGGTGGTCGTTGCTAGGTGCCCAGTTTCAGGCTGCCCATAACCCTCCAGGTGATTTTCTGTCTTTCCCTTAGCATGTGAAGAATGCTAGGGGCAAGCGCTTTGTCATGAGCAGTACACTCTCCATGAACGAGAGTTCAACAATACAATATAAAATCATTTTTCTTTCTTGTTAGGTATATCATGAAATGAGATAGCAGGAAAAGATACATACTTGTCTATTAGAAGACAATCACCAAGCACTTACAACACACCAGAACATGACTGCTGCCCAGCTAATCTGAGTGCAGTAAGAATGCTAGATCAGCTCTGATCACTCCTGCTGAGGCCACTGAGAGAGATCAGAGAATTCTCAGGCAAAAAATAAAAACCTGCTACAGTAGCTCTCTGAAACAAAGTGGACTTCCTCCAAGGGAGCTATGGATGGGGTGTAAGCTGTGGTGTAGACTGGAGGTTAGGGGTGATCTGCAGTGCAGACTGGAGGTTAGGGGTGATCTGCAGTGCAGACTGGAGGTTAGGGGTGATCTGCAGTGCAGACTGGAGGTTAGGGGTGATCTGCATGCAGACTGGAGGTTAGGGGTGAGCTGCAGTGCAGACTGGAGGTTAGGGGTGATCTGCAGTGCAGACTGGAGGTTAGGGGTGAGCTGCAGTGCAGACTGGAGGTTAGGGGTGATCTGCAGTGCAGACTGGAGGTTAGGGGTGAGATGCAGTGCAGACTGGAGGTTAGGGGTGATCTGCAGTGCAGACTGGAGGTTAGGGGTGATCTGCAGTGCAGACTGGAGGTTAGGGGTGATCTGCATGCAGACTGGAGGTTAGGGGTGATCTGCATGCAGACTGGAGGTTAGGGGTGAGCTGCATGCAGACTGGAGGTTAGGGGTGAGCTGCAGTGCAGACTGGAGGTTAGGGGTGAGCTGCAGTGCAGACTGGAGGTTAGGGGTGAGCTGCATGCAGACTGGAGGTTAGGGGTGAGCTGCATGCAGACTGGAGGTTAGGGGTGAGCTGCATGCAGACTGGAGGTTAGGGGTGAGCTGCAGTGCAGACTGGAGGTTAGGGGTGAGCTGCATGCAGACTGGAGCATGAGCTACGGTGCACACTGAACTGACAGCAGATCAACGACCCATTGCAGGCTCTGGTTTCCACATCACGGGCACATCATCAGTCCATCAGGTGACAAACAGTGAGGAAATGACCAGAGCAAGCATCTGGGGTTGAACTGAGCATTTAGGATGATTCTTAATTTTTTCAGAGAAGTACAACCAAGGGTGGCCATCTTCTTACCTAAAGTTCCTTTTTGGTCTTTGTTAGACACAGAGAACAAGACTACTCAAGCACTACTCTGACCTGTCAAGGTTCTCACACCATAACCACAACATATGTTGCATCATGTTTCCACAATGAAAATACTTTGGATTCTATCTCCTAAAAGCATTCGCTCTTCTTTAGGACTTCAGTTATGACTGAAACTCTAGTTTCACATAGTTGCTTATATGCCACTAGGTAGCAAGATGTATTCCTGTGTATTTAATTGAAACCCAAAGGATGGCTCTATAGCGATACAGAGCATTAATGAGGAAAGCTGCTGATACTTACACTCCCTTTAGACTTCCTCGATCCAACCATGGGAGGTAGAGAAGAAGCTTTCTGACTGTGGAAACAAATTGCAGTTTGGACATGTGAACGTTAGTTACAAATAATATATGATGCCCACAGCAATCATTCTAACCTGCTACCCCTACCCAGAAGCCCTTGTCGGTTGACACTTGTGGTTAGTTCCATAAAACCTCAAAATTCCATTCCAAATCATTTCTAATGGTTTCCTGAATATTATCTGACCCAATGCTTATAAAAAAAACTTTTAATAAAAGTTTTTATAACACTTTGAATGTAATTGGCCCCCATAATATTGCTATTAGGAGGTGTGGCTTTGTTGGAGTAGGTGTGGCCTTGTTGGAGGAAGTGTGCTACTGTGGGGGCGGGTTTTGAGGTCTCTTTCTTAAGATTCACTCAATATGACAGTCACATCACTTCCTGTTACCTATAAGCTGTAGGAATCTCAGCTACTACTCCAGCACCATATCTGTCTGCCCACCACCAAATTCTACTATGATGATAATGGACTGAATCTCTGAACTGTAAGCCAACAACAATTAAGTGTTTTCCTTTCTAAGAGTTGCTATGGTCATGGTGTCTCTTCACAACAACAGAAACCCTAAGTCAGGCAAACAGTTTTAATTTAAATTCCCAAATTTTCTATTTGTAGGTCAAAAACCATTTTTAAGCTAAGTAACAATAGTGCCAGATTGAGTCAAAAGCAGTAAATTTGTTGAGCATGATTCCACCTAATCTAGAAATAGAGTCTCAGGTATCAAGTTCAAAGCTAGCCCAGGTTACAAATACTCTCTCAAAAATAATAATTATAATAATGGCTTATAAAAGTAATGTCTACTACGTCCACTTGTGGTGGAAAAGAATGAAAAGCACTGGCACTTATATTCAGAGAGCTTTTAAACAGGTTAATCATTACCACATAATAACAATTTTTTATCATAAGTTTCAGATGTCTGTGCCATTGGGCAAGAATCCATCTCGTAATAAGTCTCTAAAAATAGAATATGTATGTAACAGTAAACCTTATTAATGTTTATGAGAAAGACTCATAGTGAGTCACAGTTTTTACATTAGTACCACGTGCCCAGTGCTGCTCAGCAGAAGTTGTTAAAGGCCTGGGTCATCAGCAGCCAGTCCGCTGGCACACAACTCTACTGTTCATGAAGGCCTGGGCTCCTGTCCAGGCCCAGCAGTCCTAACTTCCCATTCTGCTACTCACTAAAAGCCTCCGTTAACCCCCATCAGCCTCGCAAATACAAATGAATAGGGTGACGTCCCCCTCTGCCTCTGCAAAGGACAGTCATGAAGAGGCAATTCTGAGGGCCTGTAAGGAACACCAGAGATGGATCCCCAGCACCCACCTAGAAAGCTCCAAGGCCATGGCTCAAGGCTCTGCAGCACAGATGCTGGGATGGATATACATGACATCCTCACAAAGGGTGTTTCCAAGGGAAAATCAAACAGCGCATCACAAATAGCTACGGCATAAGCCTTGCAGAGGAGATGGCTCAGTGGGAAAAGGACTTGCTACAGAAGTGTGGAGACTAGAATTTGAGTCTCCAATACCCATGGAAATACTCAGAGGGCTCAAGAGACAGAGATAATGGATCCCTGGAACAAGCTGCCTTAAATTGAATCAGCAAGCTGTGGTTTAAGTGAGAGACCCTGTCTCAAATAATAAAGTTGGGAACAGCCAGAAAGACACTTGACATTAACCTTTGACCTTCGTGTGCATACATACAAATAAACACATACACATAAGTCTGAAAGTTTGGCACTGACTCTGTACTCAGCTTCGCTATCGGTTTGTGTAAGGGCAACTACACTGCTTTCCTATCTAACGGTTTCTAAAGGGGATGGAGGGCAGATAAGGCCATGCATGCTTAACATCCCAGAACTCAGAGGTGGAGGCAGAAACAGTAGGAGTTCAAGGCTAGCCTGGGCTGCACAGCAGGTTAGAGGCCAGTCTAGGCTATGAGAGACCCTGTCTCAAAAAGATAAGCAAATAAAATTTATAATGAGTGTAAACAACTGTAAGTTTCTCTCCAAACCAACTGAAAAATTCATGTGTTCTGGCTTCACTGCTAGACTCTAAAATGCCCATGAGATTTATACAGAGAGCACATGCTCTATTATCTTCTTCACAATCATGGAGCTTTGGTACGGAGTCTTTCACAAATTCCAACAGTATGCTTTATGCAACAGTTCTCAGTCATGAATGCTATCTATTCTAACTGATGAATAAGACTATTGGTTACAGAAAACACTCTTTTCTTTGTATTTGAGAGAGGTTAGTCTTGAACTCACTACATAGTTGAGGATTATCTTAACCTCTTGATCCTCCTGCCTCCACCTCTGTGCTTGGAATATCGTGTGTGCCATCACACCTACTATCAATCATGCACTCACATTTATATATTTCAAATAGATGGAACACATGACATTATGGCCTTTCTTCCCCCATTGCCCACTCTTAATCCCCTCCCTTTACACTGGCATTGCTCCAGTGCTACTTCAAAGAGGGAGAATGAGTGAGCAAAGACAAGGACTTACCCATACGGCCTTCTCACTGCTGATCTGTCAAAAAGCAATTCACTGTAAGGTAGTCTCTTAAACTTATCTCTGCCAACGGCCACATAAAACTGCCCATTCTCCAGTTCAGCTCCACTCTCAACCAGTTTTCCTTCTAGAGTATAAAGCCTGTCAAAATACCAATGCCAATGATTAGAAATTCCACAACCATTTGGAGAGGTGCTTAAGAATGCCAACTAAACAGGGCACTCCATTCTTGACTTGGTTCATCTGTTACTCTTCCAATTACTGACTGTGAAGCCAAGAGATACAACAGGAACCTCCCATCATACCAGAGATCTGGGCACTATCTGGATCAACAGAACCATCAATAAGCCTGGAAGTCCAGCACAGAAATCACTTCTGATACCACAGGAAGGTGTTAGAGGGAAAAGGGGAAAGTTACTGGTTTAGACTGTACTTCTTTTCATTTGTTATTATTTAGGGGGAGGGCATGTGTGCCATGGTTAAGTGTGGATGGAAGTCAGAAGACAACATTCAGGAACTGATTCTCTCTGTCCAAGAATCACAGTTCTTCAGGCTTGTGCAGCAAAGAAGTCTCTACACCCACTAAGCTATCTCACCAGCCCCAGAATGTAGTGTTTAAATGAAGTTGAACTTCCATAGAAGACGGATTGATGTGTTTATCGACACTGTTTCCATGTATTTTCTTGGTATACTTGTAGGCCAACAAGTTTCCTGCCACATTCTCTATTAAGGATAGCCTCTGGCCAAGGTACTACAGCCAAACAAACAGAACTGGGTAAGAAAAAAAGACGGTGAGAGGGAAGAAGGGCAGGGGCAAGCCAGCACTAATGGTGCAGAACTGCATAGCATGCATGCTTGTGTCTCCTTTTTAGCCATGCCTAAGCACGAGAGTGAGCATGACCCTCCCAGAGCTGTGGGGTTCATGGAGCCTTCTTTACTGTAAAACTGCTGCTGTAACTGCAATTAATATGTCACTTATTGTAAGAACACTGATTTCTTTACTAGATGGTTTAAATTATCTATGGAATTCTTTTAAACAGAGGAAAGTAGGCCACTAGATAACTAAACCAGGAAGATAATGTAATTTTGAAGATTATAAACAAGCGCTAGTAGTTGCTAGGGTTTCAACATAATGTGTTACAAAAACTTTCAAATGCCTTATATTAAAAGTGTTGAATAACAATAATAAAATCCTTCTTTCACTAGAAAAGCTGAAGCAGAAACATCATGAGTTCAAGGCTAACCTGGGCTACGTAGTGAGTTGCAGACTAGCTAGCCAGGACTACAGACTTTGTATCAGAGAAGAAAAATGGGGGTCCATTGATCTATCAGCTGGCCATGAAGAACACTAAAAATATTAACAAAAGCCCTGGAAAGTATTAGTTCTCCATTAGCATGCAGATGTTAACATTTTTCTATAATGTGGTATTTCCAACTCTATAAATCTAAGTAGGAACACAACCCCGATTTCTGCTTAGCCTACTTCATCGAGTCCACCAATCTGAAACAAAGGCACTGTGGCCAGCCAGTTGTCCATCAGGGAAGCTGCCCTGTCCATCAAAGGGTACTCAATGGTACCCCAGACTCTCCCCTGCCTATTGTAGACTGACCAGAAGTACCCTAGAGTCTCCCCTGTCTATTATAGATCCAGAAGCACCCCAGTCCCTCTCCACTAGATGGAGGAGTGCTGTTCACAGGCCCAATTGTGCTCACCAGAACTGGCTCCAGATACAGATGCAAGTCCCCTGGAATTAAAATCACATGTGGCTGAAAACCACTGGCCAAGAGCCAGACAGTCAGACATTCTTCACCCTCTTTCCTCCAAATAGATCCAAATCAAATGTTACACTAGAAAGGAAAAGATCTGGACTCCAAAATCTCCCAGCCAAGAGCTGGCTTGTTTAATAGGCAGGTAGATAGAGCTACTGTGTAAATTCTAACCTGTGATTTTATCATTCTTCTTCAATATAACTTCTGTTGATGGCCTATTTCCTTCTGTTGTCTCAAAGCACAGGAATCATGAAAAGGGAGTTTTATCTGTGGATGCTATCAGCAAATTAATATACTGATATATAACAGAAAGATGTATTCTACTATTAAATAAGATATGTTCTACTGTTAAATAAATATATTGATGAATAACACAAAGAGTTATCAATGTTCTATGAAGAGAGAGTGGGCTCTCCCAAGTGAGCAGCACCAAGTCTACCATTGAATTAATCATTAAATTTCTCAATTGAATATATTAGCTCACACCTGAGATCATAGCACTCAGGAGACAGATACAGGAGAATTGCCAAGAGTTTGAGGGTACCGAGTAAGTTACAGATAAACCAAGGCTATAAAGTGAGACCTTGTTTCAAAAAAAATTAATTTCTCTAAATTATTCATGTGTATGGGGAACATGTATTTTTATTTCTGTTAGTGGCTTGCATATCTACTCTTTTCCACCTAAGAATTTGTTCAATTATAAGAAAAGATACATTTAGACAAGAGATGGTCTATATATATCTTTGTATACTTTATATTATTTGTTGGGAAAGTCAGATGTATGCAGATGTCAAAAGAGAAGCCTATATATTTTTAAAACTATGCATAATTAGTGATGTTGATTTCTCTACTAAAATCAAAATAAACCAGAAAATGGCTAAGGTTTAAATAAAAGTTAAAAGCACAAGATGAAACAACATAAAATTATTTTTATAATCCCAGAGTCAGGAAGATTGGAGCTAGTGATAAAATTAGTGAACACAAAGAAAGACTGAAAACTCAAGATGTTTATATACAAACCAAATAAAGAAAATGCAAACTGGAAACACATTTGAAACTTACATGCAAACACACACACACACACACACACACACACACACAAAAGGCCAACTTCTCTAATACACAATGTGTGATTGAAAACCAATAAGACAAATGTGCAAGGATCATGATAGATCATGCAAAATGGAATGTAAACACATATTGTTTATTTAGAAATTAGCTAAGAGCATCAGCTCCAGACTACCTGCTAGGCTTGCCATGCTACCCCGTGTCTGCTTAATCTTGGACATGTAACTTTCCTCTCTGGGTCTCATATGTCATGTCTATCAAAAGAGAATAACACTATTTAATTCATAAGAATGCTGAGCTAATTCATTTAAAATGTAAAGTGATTATAAAAATACCTAGAATGGAAGAGGAAATCATATATCAAATAAATAAAAATCAAGAAACAATGAAACTTGCGTGTGTGAGTGAAATATACGTGTGATGCTATGAGCATGTGGAGTGGTAGACTTGCCATAGGCAACCTTGAAGTAAAGGTCAGAGGAAGTCGTGTGGTACCCTGATCTACCTGTCACTCTTCATCTTATTCCTCTGAAACAGGGTCTCTAATTGAGTCTGGAGCTAATATGGCTGACATCCAGCAAGCCCCAGAAACCCCTTGTCTCTGCCTCCTGAGTACATATTTTGTGTGTGTCTATAACCCTAACACTGAGGGTCAAGGACAGAGCCAGGAGGACGAACAGGGCTTTCTGGAAGCCAGTGTAGCTCTGGGTTCAAGAAAGGCTCTTAGCAAAGTGGAAATCATGGTACACAGCATCCTTCTCTGATCCCTGTGTTACAAACACACACAAGAAATGGGGGAAATAAGGGGTAGTAGGAAAGGAAGAGAAAGGGAGAGAAGAGGGAGGGGAAACTAGCAGTGCATATACTTGTACAAGCATAGAATATTTGTAGTTCTGATTTCTAGGGTACAAAAACTACTCAGGAAAGGGATAGTGGATCCGAATGGGAGAAATACTTTAAATTTACACTTTCTGAACTACTTGAATTTTTGTCATATGCTAAGCATTATTTTAAATTGAAACAATTTATACTTATATCTTCAGTGATGATAAAACTATTAAGATAATATATAAACATGCATTCAACTGAAGGACATGATATGCAGTCATTTGGGAATTTAGTTCAAGCAGTAGCTGTGCTTTGGTAAGTGTGTGTGTGTGTGTGTGTGTGTGTGTGTGTGTGTGTGTGAACGGGCACACATGTATGGTGTGCATGCACCAAACAGACAAGAACGTGTGCATGGTGCATCAGGAGGAATGAGAAGGAGGTAGGTACTGAGAGAACTGCTTGGATTTGGGGACACATGTGAGTGAGTAGGTGTGTGTCCGTATACATGCACTACATATATGCTTTTAATGTGTTCTATTATTTGTAATCTTCCATCAGAAAAAAAAAGATATAAATTAGCTTGCCTAAAGGGATCATTTCAGGGCCAGGGAGAGACTTCAGTGAGTAAAGGCGCTTGCCAGAAGCCTAACACCTGAGTTTAAACCCCAAGACCCACATGGTGGAAAAAGAGAAATGACTTCCAAAGGTTGTCTTCTGGCCTCCATATGTACTCACACACAGACACACACACACACACACACACACACAAACATAAATAAGTAAATAAATGTACTAAAAATAATACCCTAAGTAATAACTTCATAGGCTATACTATGCTTTAAATGTTCATTTAAATTTCACTAAAAATGCTTTTGGTTTTAATTTTGGAGTATCTCACTTATCCTCCCTCACCTGTCTCCTCCTGAAGCTCATCTCCTCTTTCTAGAATCAGACATTTTTGCCTGAGACAAACAGTTTAAACCCCTGAATAAACAGTCTTGCCTCCCTGGGGAAAGAACAATCAACTAACAATCAAGAAGCTGGTAGGGCCAAGAAGTCCCTTTCTCTTAGCATAGAATGATGCTTGTTTATTACTCTGCACTAAAATAGCAAAAGCAGGTTAAATCTCTTTATGTCTTCCAACATGCCACAGACTGATAGAAACAAACCCCATTAAAGTGCCATTATATATCATAGTCTTCATATAAAGAAACTGAGGCACATTAAGTTTAACAGGGTCAGCCTAACTTCAAATCTAGGAATCAGTGACTGCAGAGCCCATGGGAACATCTTCGAGGATTCCCAAACCATCCCCGCTGTGGGAAGTGCTATGACACACCTGTGGACAGCCCCACTCCGAAGAGTTATTTTTTCTGTGACCATCTGTAGTACGTGATCCCACTGATTTAAAGCTTTTCTAGGGATGAGGAGTCGAGAAGCTGGGCTTATGAGGTCTCCATTTGCAATCAAGCTGTGGAAGAAAAGGAAAAACAGACAACGCATCTGAAAACTGTTATACTCATAACATTCAAATTCCAACCCCCAAGGAAAGCACATAGTCAATTAATTCTACCCTGAAATATAAAGGGCTCCAACTTACAAAATAGTGCAAGGCTCATGCAGTGATTTCCTGAAACGGGCAGACACATTGATCCTGCTGTGGATGACTGGCTTCACCTTCAAAAGCAAAGCAAAAGGGAAAAGTCACCGGCTTTCTAAAGGATAAACAGGATGGTACTCGTGCTGAAATAAGGTAATACCACCTTGTTCTGACTCCATTTTGTGTTTGTTTAGACAGTTCTCAGTCCTCTACCCCACTCTACACAATGGTCAGGTCTACCTTTGCAACACATTTGAGAGTTCCGTGGCCTTCACCATTGTCCAGATATATTAATTAAAATAATTAAAATAAACTAAAATAACTAGTAAAAAAGGCAAAAATATTGACATGCCATATCTAAAATAATTACTATGCTCTGCCAGGAATGAAAGTTTCCAGGTTATTCTGGAACTCTAATTTTGATATAAATCTTGATCTTTAGCCGGGCGATGGTGGCGCACGCCTTTAATCCCAGCACTCGGGAGGCAAAGGCAGGTGGATCTCTGTGAGTTCGAGACCAGCCTGGTCTACAGAGCTAGTTCCAGGACAGGCTCCAAACCCACAGAGAAACCCTGTCTCGAAAAACCAAAAAAAAAAAAAAAAAATCTTGATCTTTGTGGGGTTTGTCTTTAAAAACTCTACATCCGGGCTGGAGAGATGGCTCGGTGGTTAAGAGCATTGCCTGCTCTTCCAAAGGTCCTGAGTTCAATTCCCAGCAACCACATGGTGGCTCACAACCATCTGTAAAGAGGTCTGGCGCCCTCTTCTGGCCTTCAGGCATACAGACAGAATATTGTATACATAATAAATAAATAATTTAAAAAAAAAAACATTTAAAGATCACTTTTAGTAAAAAAAAAAAAAAAAAACTCTACATCCTTGAGCTTGGGCACTAACAGACTCTTCAGAGACATGAAGCCACTCTTAGTGTGGCTTACTGATGGACCTTTATTGATAAGGGAATAAAATCTTTTAATTGGCTTAGTCAGCAGAGTTGTAAATAATTATTTCACATAGATCATTTCAAGGCCTCTGTTAAAGCCTTGCTCTCTTTCCACTTGGACACACACTCCAGATTCACCCTTCACCAATAATTAGACACCATCAAAGAAGCTCTCCAAAAACTAAAGGAAAAAAATTCTACATTAAGTGCTAGGCACACTTATTACAATCTATGCCAAAGATACAAACAAATCAAAGCAACTCGTTAAACAATGCTTCTAGAAAAGTACAATCAAATAATCCTATAAAATCCTGACTTTGGGAGAGCCCTCTCCTGCAACTGCAGGGCTGTTTCTTGCCATCTCTCCTCCCATTGTTGGCACACCTGCTCCCAGCTCCTGAAGCCCCACCTTGATCTGTGAAGAAAACTTTTCCGCTTCGCCTCATCCTGTGTTCATCACGGGCACTCTATCACTACACTGGCCCCTCAGCTCTTATAACTAGGGGACTCTGATTGCCCCCTCTCTTTTTTACAAAAGATCTCTATCCTAAGCTCCCTTCAAACTCACTAGGTAGCCACGGACGACTTTGAACTTCTTATCCTCCTGACTCCAACTCCCAGGTGCTGGGATTACCGGCATGACTCATCATGCCCAGTTTATGTAGTACTGAAAACCAAACCCAGGGCTAGGCAAGCACTCTACAGACCTGCATCCCCTGCCCTCCCCATCTGCTTTTGCCTCTGGAGAGTAGGGTACAGTTAAAGCCACATATCCCTGTGGAAAACACACACGAAAGGGCTTTTATCACCACCCTAGACCTTAGAAATGCTCTGCCAACCTTCCACTCACTTATTATGACAATGATTAGTTTCTGTCTTTATAATGAGTAATTCAAGGCCTTACTTACATCTCATCACACACACACACACACACACACACACACACACACACACTAAGCCAATAGACATAAAGGTCTTTACTTTCCTTTCTTCCACAGCCCAGCTCTCCCACATCTCCAACGCTTTCTCCTTTTCCATCCACCTCAGAAGACCTTTGTCCCCTTGAAAGACTGTGCTCCATCTTAATTTTGTCGCCAGCCTTCTCCACTTGCTCCACTAATGCTGAGACTCTCCATCTGGAGTCTGTAATTTTGTTCTTCCCTTTGCCTTACACCCTTCTCAAGTGCAGTCCCCCCACTTTCCATCCTTCGTGTGACACCAACTCCCATCCTGTCTTCTCTTCAGTATTCTACTATATGGTTTCCATCTGTACTACTGGGACCCCAACTCTCCATCATGGTCCTGGACCAGGCTCTTCTGTCATCAGCCCTTGTCTCCTGGCAAAGCTCTGTCCTCTTAAGCTGTGTGCTTTCACCTAAATAGCTTGCCACTGTCCCTAAGGCGTGCCCTGTGTCTACTTGTGCTTTTGCTCACTTCATCCCTCTGCCTAAAATATCCTCCCCATTTCTCCAACTGAAATTTTACTTTCTCCTCAAGGCTTGACTGCACTATGCCCCAATCATTTGCCTTTCTCCTCAGGCAGTGGCTGCAGCTGCTGCTGCAGTACCAATGACAGCACTTACAGTTTGGGGATGAGGGCCTCCATTATACTAATGTGCTTTCTAGTGCTATTAGAAACATCACGGCCAAAAGCAACTTGCAAAAATATATATTTATAAATAAATGTATATATATATATACATATATATATATATATATATTTATCCACACAATCAAACAGGAGAACTTGGAATTTTGTGAAATAGAGGGTACATAGTTTTTTTGATGGATGATGTTTATGACAAGATCAAATTGACCTGAAGAGTCTCTTCCTTTGCTTAGCTCATACACTTCATAAAAACCTGGAGTTAACACACAAACAGTACTATCTGAGACAGGGCTGGGGCTTAAGCAGTCCTTAGAAAACAGCAAATCTTCATAGCCTGCTTGCTTGCTCTTAGGTCCCTGCCAGCTAAGTGTGAATGAATCTGCACCCAGGTGAGGGACAGGCCTTCCTGCTGTGTCTCTCACAGTCCCTTTCTCCCACAACCCCCACCACAACTGTACTTCCTTCCTGCTGGGGTGTCCATGGTTCTCTGCTGCCCTGTCTTGTCTTTCCTATAGCACTTATTGTCACCTAAGTGTGTCGTATCGACTTGGTTTGCAGTCACCAATTCCTGTTGCTTTACTTGCTCTAGTGTAACTCAGTAATGCAGTCAACACACACTACATCAGTTGACACGTTTTCAGTCTGTATAGGTCTTACCACACACTCTTGGTAGTTTGAAACCTTGCTGAATTGTTGAATTAAAGATAAAAATAAGTAAGTTATATAAATTATTTTAAAGTTCTCGTCTAAATTATTTCACTTTAGTAATTTAGAGAAATAAAATACATACATTATAACTCTAACTTTATTCTGAATATAAAAGTTGGTAGTTGAAAAAAATCACAGCATTAGTACGAATAGCCATTATTTTATACATGGTTATTTTCAGCATGGCAAAGATCTCCACCAAGGTTTCATGATTAGCCATCTAAATTGAAGACTAATCTTAATTACATTTAACCCCAGTGATACTAACTAAATCTGCATTATCATTTCCAACAGACCAATAAAAGTATCGGAAAAATAAAGTAATGTATCTGAATTTAAAAATCAATAAAAAAAAACACTGATTAAATCAATTTTTAATTTTTAAACAATTATCTTTTTGCTCTTGTTTTGAGACAGGTTTTTATGTTGCCTAGGCTTATCCTCATATTTGCTATATAGCCAAGGCTGACCTTGAACTACTGATCTGCCTACCTCTACCTTCCAAGTGCTGGAGTAACAGGAGCATGCCACCATATCCAGCATATCATGCATGCTTCTAATTAGCATTTTCAATAACATCACATCTAAATTCAAAATAAACCAAATCAGCTGGAGTGGGGGCTTTCCAGAGCTCTGATTGGGAGGAGTGTTAGTCAAGTGCTCATCTATATTATGACCCTGGTAATGGGAGACAATGGTAAATGAGAGTTCTTATAATTTTATCAATCCTCTTATAAGCACACACTTCCCCTTGGCCTTTGGCACAGACAGCATTTAGCATGAGAATGATGTGAAGTGTCTTTATACTGAGTCTGAAGGTATGCACACCAGGGCTAGAGGCTAAGGAGCTCCCACTCCCACCTTGTGAAGCAGGGTAGGTCACACAGGTGAGCAGGCTGAGCAGGTTCAGCATCTAACCTGTACCTGAAACCAAGTCAAATACACTAGCACCACTCGTTGGTTTGGGGAATGAATATTCTTGTAGAACAAAGTAGAATAGCAGTCGTGAGAGACTAGTAAGGATATGGCTGGGGATGGAAGGAGTGGGAAGAAATTCAGTAAGTAACAACACACAATTAGGGAGGAGAAACTAGAGCTGGACTCTATAGTACAACTATAGGTTAGTGTGAGATGTCCCCCATAGGCTCACATGTCGCCACCCAAGGACTAAAAGAAGACAAAATTCCTAACACACTGAGAAGTGGGTTAGTTGAATGAGAGAGAGACAGGCGTATGATTCTGACCAAGTTCTCATTTCTGCCTGTAAGTAAAAGATACATGGAAGAGAATAGATGGTGGCAGATAAATGATAGGAAGGGAGGGAGAAATGAGGGAGGGAAAAGAGGAAGGGAGGGAGGGAGGAAAAGTACATGATAAATAGGTAGTTGGGTGATAGAGATAGCTAGATGAAAAGTAGGTAGATTAGATAGACAGACACACAGACAGATAGAAAGATGATAAATAAATGCATAGATAGATAGATAAGCATAGAAGGCAGTTTAAAAGTATATAGATAATAGAAATAGATGATAGCTAAATAATATATGATTGATGAATAGATAATAGATGGATAACTGATAGATAGATAGATAGATAGATAGATAGATAGATAGATAGATAGATGAATGGATTAGATGTACAGGTTAAGTAGATACTATATCTGTTAATCAATCAACCAATAGATTTAGTGATGTTTTAGTTATGTTTTATAAATAAAGTTTGCCTGAAGACCAGAAGGTAAAACTAAGCCACTAGAATCCAGGCAGTGGTATCACACACCTTGATCCCAGGATTTGGGAGACAGAGGCAAATGGATC